GAACAGCTATGTTAAGGACCAAAAAGCTCTTCAGAGAGTGATCTGTACAGCAGAACGCTGCTGCAAGGCTGCTCTCCCCTCCCAACAGGACATCTACACCAGTAGGTGCTGGACAATAGCCCAGCTATTGAAGGACCTGTCACATCCCAGCAAAAAACTGTTCCAATTACTGCAATCAGGCAGAAGGTTCTGCACCGTGTGCGCAAAAACACAGAAACTCAAGAGCAGCTTCTATCCTGAGGCCATCTGTGTGTTAAATCAGGACATGCCCCCCACCATACGTGACTGAGAAAGGACTTATTGTTACCCCATTCTGATATCAGGTCTGATCTAGTATTTTTCTCTCTTATTTTCTTTTCTAAATGTACCTGTATATTGTTTACATGTTTGAAATAAATTAACAATCAATCCTTCTGGCTTCACTACGGCACAAGACACGTTAACACGCCACTCATGCCAAGTACATTCTGAGATTCAAACTGTAAATTTACAGATTGTTTTATTTTATTTATATAATGTATATAATTCACTCACTTACTGCACATAATGTCCTCTTTGTACATATTCACTCACTGTATATAATGTTCTCTTTCTTGTTTTGTTGCACATTCGAGCAGCTTCTCAGGACACATTTCACTGTGTGTTGTATTTGTATAACTATGCACATGACAACTAAAGAATCTTGCATCTTTAAATATGAACATGAAAACAGAGACAGACAGATACCTTTGACTTTCAGCGGGATTATTTTGTATTACTGCTGCTGTTGACTATACAATTATACACTCCACTGTCTCTCTCTGTGGGGTGATTCAGGGTCAGACTGAGGTCTCCAGTTCCCAGCAGGTCTTCATTCATCTTTGTTCGGTCTCTGTAAATCTGGTCCTGTTCTTCAAGCTGGTCAGAGCCGTTCTCATATACATGGATATTCGTTTTGAAGGGCAGCTCCAAAGACTCCACCCCCTCATCCACCTCCACCTGACAGACTGAGAGGACAACAAACAAAAGATGAGCGGTACAGAAAGCAGCAGCAAGTTTTCAGAGTTGTAGAGAAAGCTGAAGGACGGAAGCAGATCAGAGCAGAAGGTAACAGGACAGTTAAAGCAGCTTTTTGAGCTGTTGGAGATGCTGAACAAATGTGTGAAGAGGATTTGTTACTTTGTCTGGAGGCTAAAAGGGCCCTGTGCATCTGCATTGCCTGCATAGAGCATGAAAAGGTTTTACTCTAATCCTCCTGCAGAGTAGTTTCTAGAATAAATAAAATGAAGTAATTCAGGAGGACAGCTCCAGTCCACCATTTCCAGTGTTTCCAATCTCTTCCCCTGGCCTTATTCAGCTGATTCCTAAACATTGCACCAGCAGCTCAACTGCTAGTCCACATTCAAAAAACTGTGGTTTTATCTGGGCCCCTCCCCAGCAAAACAAGGGTTGATATGTTTAGCTTGCTGGCTGTCTGAGTGGTGTCCAAAAAACAATGTGGGCTTTCTAGATAGTTGAGAAACTTTCAGGATTAAATCTGGTGTTGTTAGGAGAGACGGCATCCATCCCACTTTGGATGAA